CCAGAAATACAGATGGGTTCTGCTCCTTTATAGCTTGCTGGCATTAGGGTGCATGGTGCACTGGTATCTACGACAGCCTTATACCCCTGTGGGTCTGACACGCCAGGCCATCGGATCCACACAGTCCAGTAAACCCAGTTGTCCCTCTCCTCCACCTGGCTGGAGGCAGGGTCCCTCTACTCCTGGTCATAGGATTCTCTACTCACTCCTTGTAAAAACGGACTAAAATTCCTTTCCATAGGATCAGGAGTAAGATCAGTCCTTCTGCTCTGTCTGGGAAACTGCCCATCGGAGAATGGAGCAGCAATTTTCCTAGAAGAACCGCCTTTTGCAGTTGTTTTTCATTGCAACTCATAGAACAATGCATTCTGCATTTGTCCAGGGGTGAAATTCCAAAACGCTGGAGGTGACCGTGTCCTAGGCACTTGCCCATACTATCCCACACACCCTGCCACTCATAACTATCCAGCCTCAGGGTAGATCTCTGTGTGGTATTCTTACATAGCTGTTTAACCTTAAACAAGACCAGAACCACATTCAGGAACATGATGGTTCCTCACAATAGGACTAGGCTGGTTTCAATATCCCAAGGATATTCAAAATTTTTTAAATTCTCAAATGCTATTGTAATTAGCCTGGTAGAGCAGGGGAAGATGTGGGAAGATGTCTCCTCCACAGGTTGGCTCTCCAAGGAGGAACAGTAAAAGGTGTAATTATTAATAGTTTCCAATAGATGGCTCTCGAGGTATGGAAGTGACAGCAATGCTGAGTCCAAATACCAGATGAGTCTCACGACCAGCATTTCTATCATATCATAAGCCAGCGTTACAAAGTACAATAAAATTATAACCTTAGCCCAGGTCCCAGAGGTGATGAACAACACAACAGGAAACATACACAGCAAGCAAGGTATTACACAATGCAACTCTGAGAACAAGCGCAGCAACTCTGAGAGCAAATAAAACATCGCAACTCGCAACTATTAAACTAATATAATGAATGATTATAACAAATTTGTTCCAATATGTTTCAGTCAGACTTGTTGTTATCTCAACCTATCATGCCCCATGTTGGGTACCAAAAAGGACTGTCGCGGTTTAACCCCAGCTGCCAACTAAGCACCACACAGCCGCTCGCTCACTCCTCCCTCCCCCTCCTACCCCTGGTGGGATGGGGAGAAGAATTGGAAAAAAGGTAAAACCTGTGGCTTGAGATAAGAACAGTTTAATAATTGAAATAAAATATATCATCATCGTAATATTAATAATAGTCATGAAAAGGGAGATAACAAAAAGGGAGAGAAATAAAACCCAAGACAAGTGATGCACAACGCAATCGCTCACCACCGATGCCCAGCCCAGCCCAGCCCCCAGTAGCGATCGCCACCTCCCGCCCAGCTACCCCAGTTTCTATACTGGACATGACGCTCTATGGTATGGAATATCCCTTGGGCTGGTTGGGGTCAGCTGTCCTGGCCGTGCTCCCTCCCAGCTCCTTGTGCACCCCCTCGCTGGCAGAGCATGGGAAATTGAAAAGTCCTTGACTCTGTGTAAGCACTGCTCAGTAACAACTGAAACATCCCTGGGTTATCAACATTAAATCCAAAACACAGCACTGTACCAGCTACTAGGAATAAAATTAACTCTATCTCAGTCGAAACCAGGACAGTCCTACATTTTCTCCTGGTTCAGAAACTGCTCTTATAGAACGAACTGTGTTTGAGCTCACCATTGGAAAACAGATTTCAAAAGACTAGTTTAGGAAAGGACCAGACTCTGTACTTGGCATGTGAAAAGCCTGGAAGACAGGCAGCCTGAGGGAGCAGGAGACCATGAGGAGATGCCAGAAGGATGGACTGTCGTCTGGCTAAGCTGAAGCAAGGACAAGGACAGAACACAGCCAACACCCAGGCCTTTTCCAGTGGTTCCGAATTTGTTACGGAAAACAGCCCCGAGAAGAGAGTTGCTTTCTTTTGGGAGGCAATTTGGCCCATCTATGGCAATGGATCAGAAGACAAGTTCTTTTTCTGCTGCCTGCTGTATGACAGAAAGGATCTTTTTCTTCCCAGGACATACAAGGCTCCAGTGCTAGGAGAAGACTGAAGCCATAGCCAAAAACCAGTGCAGAAATTTGTGTGGAAGCTTAACATTTTTACCCTCCTCTCTGCCCCAATTAGTTACTACCCTTCTGCATACAGAAACTCCCTCAGCAGAGGTGACAGGAACACTCATCTGCTTTAAAGCAAGTCCACTCTCCTAGCTTAAACAGACTTCTTCAGTACTTCAAGTCGTATGACTACAGAAGACTTTCAAGGCCAACTCTGCCTGCACATATGTTCTGTATGTGCAAATGCATGGGCAAGGTATAAAGCACTGCACTAGCGAATCCCACAGACATCCGATTCTCTCCGTGTACTGTAACCGATTCACACCTAATCCTCAGAGACTGGTCATGAGCAAACGTCTACAGTCAGCCGGTTCTGTCTGGTAGTGTGGCTGTATGAAAGCCCTAGCTCCAACTTAACCTATGAGTCAACATCTGACTAAGTTGACACCTTCTCTGAAGCAGAAACAAATGTCAGATTTTTTCATCCTTGCTTCTTAAAGTACAAGGGAAGCTTCACCTGCGTGAATGACACCAAATGTAAATAAAAATTAACAATTTTGGGGATTGCAGACATGTCCACACAGCAGTGTCATATAGACATGATTAGGTAAGATTTAACTAAGCCTATTTGGGTATCATAAGTGGCAGAGAGCTTAGAGGGGACTATCCTACCCTACAGGCTTTCTGCCACCATGCCTGCATGGGTGGAAGCAGCTGGAAAAGGTTCTTCCTAGGGCTAGCCATATCCTTAGAGTTCATAGCAAGTACTCCAAAGCTGAAAAATCCAATTGCAGCTCTTCCAAACCCTCTTGTTAAGCACCTGCCAGCACTGGTCTGCATCATAAAGCACAAATACTTTGAAAAGTGTCCCCAAACAGCCACATACAAAATAAGGTCTCAATCTCTGAAATGCGTTTATTGACGTTCCAATGTCCAAACCAAACTGCCGGATCTCAGGAACAGATTTAATGCATTTCTGTTAGCACAAACAAACTTCTAGAGAAGGAAAGAGAAGCAAATCCACAATACTTTAACAAAACTAACATAAGACATTCACATCATTACAGAATCAGCTAGAAAGAAAAGCTAACTTGGAAGGCTATCCAGGAGAGATACCTGCAAAAAGGAAAAAAAAATTTAAAACTAAATTCATTAACATTTCAAACTGGTAGGTGACAGCAAGTAGCTTTAACCTTTATCGTCAATAAAAACAAAATCCTAGGAAATTATATACAAAAAACTGGTACCAATACAAATTTGCTTAGTAATTAAAAAAACTTGGAAAATTACTGGCAAAGACACAAAATATACTATCCTGTCCTTTTGGTTAAGTGTATGGTAGGGGATATACTAGTTAAGACTGAAGGAAAAATGTAGTCTAAGTTTGCTCACATCTTCCTAAGCCTTCAGATCCCCTAGTACAAGATATTAACTCTCTCTACAAAATCCTGGATTTCTTAGGTCTTTCCAAACTTATGGCTAAAGCTATGTGACCACTGCACATTCTTTAATTACATGGTCACAAAATGTTTATCAGATCTCTCGTCTCATTCAGTGCATGTAACGAATGTATTACAGGGCAAAATTAAACACCATAAAAGCAACATTTCTTAACTTCATTTTAATTGAGATTTGCATTGAAATAATGTCTTTTTAGCCCAGTTTTGTGCATACACAAGCAGTATGTGTGTCTATCTGTGTGTGTGTGTGCACACACAAAAAGGCATATTCATGTTTGAAGGGAGAAGGTTGCTTATAAATTCTATGAAGTCCTGAAACTAATCAAGTATTTCCCTCTCCTGCAAGGGACAGAAAAGTAGGGGACACGCTGACTTGTTATTCATTCACATTAATACTTGAGTTTTCTCAGAATACACAGTCCGCTATCAAAGGACTCTAAGGAGGTTTCATATATTCAGAGAGCGGTAAAGAAAATGTTAGGTTAACCTTATCTGGTTTTCTGCATGTCACAGGTCTTGTATGTGACACTCAGTGAAGACAATCCGGTGATGAGTTTTAGAAAGGCATTTAACCTTGACCACAACTGTTAGAGATTGCACACCTCTACTAAGTCACTCCAGGTCTAAGCTTCACCACAAAACACATTGTCTTATTTCCCATTCAAATTCTTCTAACTTTGAACCCACAGTTTTTTTCTTTGGCTGTCATATAAAAACACCCTCCAGTATTGGACTTCCTGTCCTTAACGTGGACACTCTATCAATCACACCTCTTAACCACCTCCTCATGAAACTAGACAGATTGAACTTCTTCAGTCTCTCCTTACGAGGCAGCTTTTCTAGATTTTATATCTTCTAGGTTCTCTTTGAGTCTGCGATATCCTTTCTTTGATATCCTATTCTGTTTTTTATGTCCCTTCTTTAGTGTCATTTCAAATAGGCCTTTGTAATTTTCTTCCTAAATCGAGCTGGATTCCTAAAACAGCCTGGATCGTGTGTTTTAAAAGCAAAAAACATTTAAAACATTACAACATTTTAAAATGTTTGACATGACTTTTATTGCAGGACAGGAATCTCATCATGCTAACATGGTGGTAATCTGCTGAAGCTGGTCCTGCCTCACCCAAGGTAGGTGTACCTACTCCAACACTTTCCAAAGAGTCCAGTTACAAATTATAAAAAACACCATGTACATACAGAATAACCTCTTCAATTTCTAAATACACAATCAAAACTTCAAGAAAGTGAAACAAAAAAGTAATGCTCCATACCTGCCTGGGGTCTGATCGTTGTGAGAGATTCCAGGTAGTCCTTCATGTCTTTGTGTTTGAAGCCAACAGAGATTTCAAAAGGTGTTTTATGTAGTACATTCAGGTGATCAGGATTGGCACCTTTCTCCATGAGCTGCTGTGCCAAGCTCACCTTTCCACTAACAGCTGCCAGCATTAAAGGACTCCAGCCCATAGTCTTCACAGTGTAATTGCAATCAGCTCCCCAGTCTAATAACAGGTGTACAACTGCCTCATGTCCATGCTGAGCAGCTGCCATTAGTGGAGTGATATCGGGAAGGTCGTCTCTGCTACTGTTAAGTACACTTGTACTAAAATGGTCATAATTGTCTACAAAAGCTCCAGATTCCAGTAATAATTTCACCATGCTGACATGGCCACCTCTGGAGGCCATTGTGAGGACACTGGCTCCTAACTTATTCTGTGCATTGAGATCAGCACCATTCTCCAGCAAGATGTGTGCCACGCTTAGATGTCCGAACCTTGAGAAAAAGAGATAAGGCGGAGAATTAACACCTTAGACGGCAGCGGCTTTTCAAAGAAAACAGCCATACTCTGAATATGGAAAACTTTGTTACCAAATTGGCCACTGACTAATACACCATGTAGGATCATGCACACATCACTGAATGCGACAGTGGTCACCTCACAAGAGGGGAGCAATCAACAGCTAAGGACTGTAAACTAAACCATTCCACATGTACCAGTGACCATGCTCATAAACCAGGCATCTATTCAAGAGGATATTCTGATCAAAGCAGCAATGTGCTAGCCTCATTTTCAACTGCAGGACATCAACTTGTAACTTCCGTAAGCCAGAGAGTCACTTTCCTCCTCTTATTTCCAGGTCTGTATCACATCCAAGAATCGAAGCCAGTTTGTTTGCAGAAATCTTAATTAAGTACCCTCATTACTACTGACCAAGTACAGTAAAAACTTCAAAGAGTGTCAATGCTAAAGAAAAAAAAAAAAAAAAGACCATTTTATGAACTGGATAGCCAATCTTTGTATGTGCATCATTCCCTGCTTTCCAGTTGTGAACCATCAATGAATCCACACAATGGATGGAGGTTCAGAGAAGACAGGCACATGCCCATGAAGCTCAGAGAAGAACACAGCCAGTGGCCTCAGCTGTTGCAAAGTAAGCTGAACACATACAGGTGACCAGAGAGTGGCCTTTAGAGAAATGTCTCTATCAGCAGAGTGGGACAACTGGTTGTGTGAATGGCCTTCCCTAAAACAATCAATAGAAAGCATTACCCTCCTGAGTCAGCCAGACCAGCATGGGGCAAGCATTTACACAGCTCAGTCCAACACAGAGCACCAAAACTGAGCAACCAACAAAATGGATTTTGAACGGAGCAAGGGGCTTGAGCTGGCTTCCAGTCACATATTCCTCCCTGGCAACCGGGGAAGCCCAGCATTGTGATTGTGAGCATATAGGGACTGGTAATAGGCGTACTGTTTGTTTTCTGGTTTGACTGTGTGTTGCATTTGCTAAGTTAGGCTTGTGTTATGATTTCAAGAGATTGCTGTATCACTCGGCTAAATTAAAATCCTATGTAACATCAAGTATCTTCCAATAAGGAAACTTGGTATTAAAGCATTAAACCCTCCTTGTGTGGAATACCTAAAAGAACTTGGTCAGAGGATTAAACTCTGACACTAGTTTCACCAGTAACCCAGCTTTGCTATCGCTTTATTACCAGAGGCTCTGGTAGTTTGTCAGTAAGCAAAAGACAACCACACAAGCCATACACCCACCCACCCACGCATGAGAAAGTGGAAATCCTTTACCGTTCCTCAGTTGAGGAATCCCACATTTTAATAAACATAACACATTGACAAGACGTGTACATGTTGCAGATATCATGCATTACTATATGCTCGTGCAGTGTTTAATGCAATCAAACTTTGATCCTGAAAGCAGCCTTTGTACACTGCAGCAAAGCAAATGTTTGTTGAGGAAATCCTGAAGAATGCTACTAACCACTAACAGCAGACATGAGACCCAAACTCCCCAGTTTCCTTTCAGAAAGTACATACTTGCAGAAGGAAGCCTCCAGGGCCTGTCTAGCCCCTAGGTCTATCCTGGTAGCCTTCACTGCATCACATCAGTAGAACCTGCAACCCCTGTACACATGAATAATTTTATGCATATATGCTATCTCCTGTCCGGTTTCAACAGGACTAACCACAGCCAGAAAATTAAACATGTACATAGTTTGAAACCTACCTTTGTACAAACACTATGTTTCCTTTTTGGTTATCCATTAAAAAGAAACATACTCTTCTGCTTTATGCCTTCTCTACAGGTTTCAGTCATATCTACAGTACTTTTCAAATGGCTGCAAGTCATTTCTTTAAAACAGTGAGAGGATTATAATGATTCAAGTTTATTGTTTTTAGAGAATGAGCGTACGGTTTTCATTAAGGGAAAAAAATCTCAGAATGTTTCTGCAACTTTTTTCTTTTTTTTTTTTAACCTTCATAAAATAACAAAATTGTTGAACCTTGTCTTCCTTGCTCTTACTGGGAAACCAGCTGTGTGACTCATTCTTTGGGAACTTTTTACGGGCTTTAATTGAAAAGAGAAATGTTGACTTTGAAACAGACTCTTTTCTTCCAAGTATTTTAATCTGTTATGAAACAAAAAAAAAAACCCACCCAAAAAACATTTCTCTCAATTAAACATTCAATTATTATAGGAAAGCACTGCCCTCCAACCTTGCAAAACACATCTGTAAACCCAAGGGGTACTTTTATACGTAAAGATAAGCACAAACACCAGCATGAGCAATACGGGAACCTCCCACAACCCAGCCGTGGGTTACACAAAGCACAGCGTCATTGATGCAGAAAACAATCCAGTTTTGTCACTAAACCCCTCAGCAATGATTTTTTTTCCATATCCTCCAGCAAGCCACTTAAGAAAATATGGAAAAGCCAAGTGAAATGAATTATTTCTGTCTGCTTCAGTATGTTTTAGGTTAGAGATGATTTTTCAACAGGTAGATAAGACACACACATACAAAAAAAAAAAAAGACAGAAAATTAAGTAAGGTTGTGCACATATCTTATTTCCACACAAAGAATGAGGGGAGTAGTGTTTTCACGTTCAGGTTACTTCTGACTGTGATTCTGCACTGGCTTTACCCAAGAAATTGCACATACAGCTTCAATCACCACATCCTCAACACGGAAAAAAACAACCGAACACTCCAGTGTAATACTTATCCAAATCTAAACTCGACAGCCCCTCCTTACCCACCCCCAGGGACGGTAACAGGTGGCCACTCGGATCCCCCCCGGGATGACCAC